TCACAGTGCTGTGAACGGTGCCTTACAGATGTGGGGGCCCAATCTACTTGCCCTCATGACAATCCACTTGTCGTGCTACTACAAATAGGGGGCTAGATTTAAACTGGTAATTCCATTTTTCCAAAACTACTTGGGAAAGTGAACATATGCACATTGTACGTGTAAGAGAGTGCTGCTGCCCGGCTACCACAATATGGCACACAGTGGAATGGGGGCAGCCCTCAGCGCACAACCAGACACAATGCCCTATGCATGCGTTTATTTGCATGGAGATGGCAGGGGAGGCGGAGTTGGTTTTAAATATTTATTTTATCATTTTTTACTTCATCACCACCCCCCCACCCCTTAACGCTACCTGCTATCATACAAGGGCTAACAAGCCCCTATGTGATAGCATTTGGAGGCGACAGGTTCTCTTTACGGAGCCTCCCCTCCAATACAGAAGACTGAGCACAGCATTGTGCTTGATCTCCTGTGCAGCCCGGCTTGTGACAGCTGAGACAGGAAGCACAGAGTACACACTGATCACACAGAGGAGATCGGAAAATCGAAGCAGCCTGTTGGGGACAAGCAAGCTGCTGCAAGTGATCTAAGCCGGTGCACAGCCACCCAGATCACTTGTACATAATGAGCGGCAGCTCCCCTGCTCTACATTTAGCCCTGCTTGCCCGCAGCAGGGCTAAATGTAGAGGGGAAAAAAAAAAACACAAACTCCGGCACGGCGCTAGGAACTTCACGATCCGGGCGTTAGGAATTGGGCAACCCTGGAGATGAGGGCTTAAGCTGGTAAAAAAGCAGAGCGAATTTCGACCGATACAGCAGGTATCGGGCAAAATATGATCTGTGGGTGGCCCCCTCCCCTCCACAGAAGGAAATCATTAGATCGACCATTGCAGAAGGGACACGCTGGAAAATCATTGGCTGACCACTGTTCGCAGCCAATCAGCTGTAATCACTGTTCAGGTATTCTTACAGTAGCTGGCACCCCTGTCAGAAAACATACGCAGCGGGAGATGTGTGCATCTGTTAGTGTGGATTGAGGAATGGGTCATATTTTATTTTCATCCTGCCTGTGAGACTGAATAATGACTGTTTGTACCCAGCTTTAGCTGTTGACTTTATTACAAAAGTAAATGTTTGCCTATCAGCAGCAAGGCTGTTTAGTCTGCATTATGTGAGTGTTGTCTGAAACAAAGATTTTGAAGGATCACGATGCACGCATGCAAGCTTACATTATCATCATACTGGGCTCTTCTGATCAAACTTGCATCATTTCACCATTCAGACCTTATGGCAGTCATTCAACAAACGCAACTGCCTTGAACCATACGGTGAGCATTTATTTGTAAGTCTTATAGAAGAGGATTTCAACGTTGCCTTTAATAATTATTCCATATACACTCGAGATGTTTATATTATACACTTGTAAACTAGTAATGATGCATCACACACCTTACTAGTCCCTAATAAAATGGCAACTTCAAAAAGGTGTGCCTCAGCAGAACAAGTAATCCTCTAACAGGAATTCCCAGCCATTGCCTTTAAATACAAGTCTCTGAAGTCAATTGGCTTGTTGGGGGCCTATAAGACATAAAGCTAAACTCCAAGAAAATAAAATACAGTTTATATCCAAAAGGCACGTGTATTGTGGTACGTGAAGCTTGGTGTGCTTTGTGTATTTCCTCCAGATCTGTGCAGTAACCCAATGTGACCTTGTCTCTGTTCAGGAACTTCCTGTATAAAGACCAGTCACTGCTACTCTCTCCTTGTGCAGGGTGGCTGGTCTTGTATCCGCCCCCTCCTGTAATTTTCTACAGGCAGTATGTAGTGGGTGGGGCCTGCTTTGTCCCTCCCACAACTCTGCGCAGGTTATGCACAGCACAGTGGTAATATGCCCACTCCTTTTACAAGGTATGTAGAGGAATTTCAGTGCACACAAGGTGGATGTATATAATTTGAGGCTATTGAGGAATAGAGTTGAATGAAAGTTTTTACCATTCAGACCTTATGGCAGTCATTCAACAAACGCAACTGCCTTGAACCATACGGTGAGCATTTATTTGTAAGTCTTATAGAAGAGGATTTCAACGTTGCCTTTAATAATTATTCCATATACACTCGAGATGTTTATATTATACACTTGTAAACTAGTAATGATGCATCACACACCTTACTAGTCCCTAATAAAATGGCAACTTCAAAAAGGTGTGCCTCAGCAGAACAAGTAATCCTCTAACAGGAATTCCCAGCCATTGCCTTTAAATACAAGTCTCTGAAGTCAATTGGCTTGTTGGGGGCCTATAAGACATAAAGCTAAACTCCAAGAAAATAAAATACAGTTTATATCCAAAAGGCACGTGTATTGTGGTACGTGAAGCTTGGTGTGCTTTGTGTATTTCCTCCAGATCTGTGCAGTAACCCAATGTGACCTTGTCTCTGTTCAGGAACTTCCTGTATAAAGACCAGTCACTGCTACTCTCTCCTTGTGCAGGGTGGCTGGTCTTGTATCCGCCCCCTCCTGTAATTTTCTACAGGCAGTATGTAGTGGGTGGGGCCTGCTTTGTCCCTCCCACAACTCTGCGCAGGTTATGCACAGCACAGTGGTAATATGCCCACTCCTTTTACAAGGTATGTAGAGGAATTTCAGTGCACACAAGGTGGATGTATATAATTTGAGGCTATTGAGGAATAGAGTTGAATGAAAGTTTTTGTAGCCGGAGCTCAGCTTTAGCTGCAAACATTTAAGATGGCTGCAAACATTACAATACGATTTTACAATCTCCTTGATTACATGTGATCCAGTGGTGGACGCCTAAGTGACAACAGCCCCTCCTTTTTACCCCATGGAGGCTCATCACCATTACAAAAAATCTGATACTTTGTATGGGTTACCGTAGCACAGTATAAAAAAAAATACAAGTGCTTATCACTTTTACCAGCAGTGCCAAGTAATCCATCTATACCTCACAAGGCACCTACAATACCACAGGTTGCCCTTGTGATCATTATAAGGGGGAGAGGAAGGATGAGGCGGGGG